ATATATATATATATATATATATATATATATATATATATATATATATCCATCCCAGGACCACACTGCACACAGTGGTGGGCTGGTTCCTACCCCATCTATTTTGTCAACCAAGAAGATGCCCCACAGACATGCCCACAAGCCAGTCTAATGGCAGCAACTCCTCAGCTGTGACTTCTTTCCCCAGGTGACTCTACTTTGTGTCCAGTTGGCAAATGCCCCAGCATAGGGCTCCTGTATTCTGACCTCACATGCTCAGCCTCTGAGTCAGTAGGTTAATCTTTTCCTGGCTTGAAAGCCCTGGGTTCTTCTAGACCACATGTTTCGTATATGCCTTTATAGGTGGAGGCAAAACCAAGCTGCCACTTAAAAATGAAACTCCTTCTCCGCACCCTGGACCTGAAACCCAAGATGGAGGAAGCCTTGTGTGCACAGCAGCTGTAAGAAAAGCAATCGGGACATAAAGACAATCTCTGGTTCTGAGAACTAACCCAAGATTCCACAAGCCACTTGCTCGGTCAATACATGCTAGATGACTGAGTTGGTGGGCACTTACATGCCAGCTGACAGGCCAGGGATTTCTTGAATGGGGCCGTTTTCAGATGATGTCATCAGATTCCGTAGGGGAAGTGGCTTGGGTTCTGCCTGTGGGTTCATAATTGAAAGAAGAAAAGAATCTGTGAACCTAAGTGTTCTTGGGGGACCTTGACCCATAGTCACAGCTTGTCAGGCCACCTGTTATCACTGACAGTCACTTTTATCAGCCTACAGGGATGCCCTTCCTTCATTTCCTTAACTTTTACTTCATGGTTGGATTTCAAGTCCCTAAACAGAAATACTTCCAGGAGATTTCAGAAGTATCCCAGTAACATCACCATGTAACAACTCCCCTCAGAACCTAATGGCTTACACAATGATTTCACTCCCTATCTTGTGGGTGGGGAATCAGGGAAGAGTACATATATCTCTGTACTTTTATCTGATGTCTCTCAGGTGCTGGTAGGGAGACGTCAGCTGGACTTGCATGTCACATGAAGTTTCAAGTGAACTAGACGTCCAAGCTAGCCCATTCATATGGGGCCAGACAGTGCCAGGTGCTATCTGGAAGCTCAGCTGTGTCTCTCCAGCAAGGTGCCACTTTGTGGTGTGACTCTCACATGGCACCTGCCTTCTCTCAAAGTATACATTCCAAGAGGACAACACAGAAGCCAAATGGTCCATACGATGGAGTCTCGGCCTTTGAAGACACCCAGAGTCATTCCCTCTATGTTCCATTCAGCAGCCACATACCTGTCTAGATTCAAGGAGAAATAATCACGTCTCCATGGATAGGCCATCAAAGAATTCATAGACACTTTTAGTAATTCCTATTGATCATCTGCCACAGTGTAAATTGAAGTCAGCCTGACTTATTTGTGGTTTAAAAAAATGGGGAAAAAAAGTCTTCAAAGATGGCCCCTGTTGATACCATCTTCCATTGTGACATGCATGCCTCTTTTCCTTCCCTTGGGAATCGATTGGCCAAAGCACTTGCTTTGACCAATATGGTATGAGGTAAAGTGATTCTGCATTTATTAGTCTACCCTGTAGAAAGATCAACAGCCCCTACTTCTGTGGAGGGAGGCAAACACCATGTAGAAAGCCTAACTATCCTGAGACCATATGATGTGAGGAAGTCTAAGTTAGTCTTAAGAAGGGGCCATAGAAAAGAGAATCAGAGAACTCCGCCAACATGCAGAACCAGCAGCAAAAGAAGCCCAACAAACAGAAATCTAGAATTAGGGAATCCCATGATACCATTTCAAGTCAAACCAGACACTTAGAAATGCATAAATAGGCAACTGTCTCCACAATGCCCGATCAGGAGGTGGCCATTTTAAACTACTAAGTTTTTTATTTTTGTTTTTTGTTTTCTGGTTTGTTTGGTTGGTTTGGTTTGGTTTTTGGTTTTTGGTTTTTTCAAGATAGGGTTTCTCTTATAGTTTTGGTGCCTGTCCTGGAACTCACTCTGTAGACCAGGCTGGCCTCAAACTCACAGAGATCTGCCTGGCTCTGCCTCTCGAGAGCTGGGATTAAAGGAGTGCGCCTGCGCCACCGCCACCACCACCACCACCGCCGCCGCCGCCGCCCAGCTTAAACCACTAAGTTTTAATATAGCTTACTGAGCATCAGTAGATGATGGGAATACCTTCTACCTACTTTCCAAGGGAAGTCATGTAGTGATCCTGAAGGCTGAACATCCAGAGTACAGATGTGTAGGGGCCAGAGAGCCTGGGAGATGATGAAGTTGTCACTTGGATGAAACAAAGAAGTTGGATGGAAATTGGGTGGGACTTGCAAAAGGGAGCAGGGGAGCAAGCCAAGACCAACCATATCTGCCTGTTTCCAGGTTTTTGTTTTTGTTTTTGTTTTTGTTTTTGTTTTTGTTTCTCCAGGAAAAGAAATGTAGGAAGGGATCACATTCTCCCCTCTTCAACTTCTCCTTCATTGCCCTCAACAGCTCTCCCCAGGCTCAGGGAGATCGGCTTATGTGTTTAAATGATCTTAGAATTTACTTTATTTCTATATGTGATACATTTCAAACATACTGAAAACAACAGAAAACAATTGAACAAAACGTTCCCTTACCTACCACCCAGCATTTAAATAGACCGTTGAAGAGTAGCGGAGAATCTTAATCAGTTTTCATAGTGTTGTCGCTGTTGATGGGTAAGTACGGTCTACCTTCTGAAAAAAAACCGACACGGCTATGAATTCCTAGGAGACCCCTGACACTCGGCAGTGGGGTGGAAGATCTGCCTCCAGCAGCTTCAGAAACAGGTCACAGAGTCCACCTCCTAGTTCCATAACCTTCCCCGCTCCCACTCTCCAGGTAGCCGCAGCAGCTACACAAGGCCCTCAAAGGTGCACTGCTCCGTGCTGAAACACCCCCATGTCTGAGCCGTGAATGCCGCTTGCGTCTCCCTACGCCTGTTCAGTGTTCCATCTTCAAGACAAGGAAGAGTCAGACAATCCGGTGGAACAGCCTGAGCCACTTTCTAAAGGATAGGTCACTTTCCCAGAGTTGATATTTGCAAAGTTGACAAGGGCCTTCTAGAGAGAATGCAGTGCAACCCACAGCAAGGCACGGCTGGACCTTCTGGACACAAGATGTGCTGACAGGGTACACGGAGACCATTCATTTGTCCCCCCAAGTCCTTTCTCCACTCTTCACTCTCCGGGAGGCGGCCTTCTGTGCATTAGTTAAGAGGCTCCCTTGCTTCTGTTAAGTTCAGTCGGTGGGGAAGGGGGAATATCTGTATCTGCAAGAGACAAGAAATAAAGAGGAGAGTTGGTTGCCAGGGCTACCATCTCTGCTCTCTCCATGTGATGCCACCATGGACAGTTCCCTAAGCAAAGATGGAGCTCCTCTAAGCAGCTCACCCACATGCTTCCACTTCTCGGGTTCTGGAAACTGCTCTCTGCCCGTGCTTTTACACACCAAGAAATGGTTGAGCTCGTTCCTCCTATTCTGGATCTATCCCGTAAGAGTTCCTTCAGCCTTCCTACACTTTTGACAGAAGTCTAATAAAGTCCCCTCTGTTAGTTATGTAGCTGCGTTGTGTTCTTACCCTGCAAGGAAACGTCACGAAACACGACAGAATCCGCTTATAAGAGTTTATTAGAAATACAGGGATAGAGAGTGCGCAGGCCTGTGGGAGAGACACGTGCGTGAAGAAGGAACTGGGAAGCATGGTGCTCCACTTTAAAACCGGCTGGGGGCGTGGCCAGGTCACGTCACTACTCCACGCGTAGATCACATGGTCACATTGCGCGCTTACATGACCATGTAACATCACGGACCCTGATCACCCGAGACCCCTTGGCCCGGAACTTGCTAGGCGGAGACGTCCGGGTCCGCTGGGTATCCTGGCTACGAGAGACGCTTTGATCCGGAAATGGCTAGGCGGAAGTGTCCGCCTGGTAAATAAACCCTTCACCCTCATGTTATTTGATTTTTTTTTTTTTGTCATCATTTTTCCATTGGGCCAATAACAAGAACCAACACTGTTGGTGCCTCTGAAATCTTGCCATCATCCTCTCTAAGAGACAGATGGCATAGCCAAGAGCCGTCAACACATAGGGAGAGTGTCCCTGCCCTATGCGCAACAGAGAAGATACACCCTCTAGGATTCTTTCATCTGCATGGGCCCTGAGAGTTTCTGCCTCAGTTCTCCCAGGCACACGGTAGCATGAGACCGCAGATGAAGATGCCTCTGCACTCCTGCTCCCACAAAATGAAGTCACCCCAATTCTAAGCGGCTCTCATGCTTTACACTTCTTCATAAGAGGACAGGATGTATTATAAGCAAAATAGGCTTGCTAAATATAGTCTATTCAGCCTAGGAAAGGCTAAATTATTCATAACCAGACCAGGATATACAAGGCATGCTAAACACAAATCCATTTTTGATTCTGGCATTTTTTTTCTGGGGGTTCTATATATTCAATGCCCCTGCATTGATCGGGAGCTGCCCTCCTGATGCCTGTATTTGCTGAGGATGAAGAGCTCAGGATCAGTGCCAATTACCAAGCTGTGAATAACCCTGGTCTCACCCTCTGCAGGACAGCAGCCACCACAAGGTCATCAATTGTCTGTCCCTTGTAACTGGTGCTAGAGGCATCTGCATTTCCTGGAAGAATCATCAGCTCCCTGCAGAGCCCAAGGATAAGTAAGCCCTACAAAAAAAGACATCATCTGAGCCCAGACAGCTCAGCATCCATTGCACCATGAAAGGCAAGATGGGACAATGTGACAGTGACAATTAAAGCCACCTCCGAGTCCTAGATATGATCAATGCCAAGGAAACAATGTGTGAATCCCCTTCATAGCAGAGGGCTCAGACTGAGTAGTTCATTGCAAATGATTTTCAACCCAGGCTATCTTCACCTAGAAGCCACTGATTAGATTTTTTTTTCCTGCAGTATGAGAATCACTATTGAAAATACAGACATCTCTGAGACACTCAGTCCTGGTATTTTCTAAACAGGACAAAATAGAGCCATGACATACAACACAGATCTCGAATCTCAGCTGTTCACTTTTTGCTGAGTGTCACTCTGGGATCTGAACACCAGGTATCTGCCATGATCTGGAAGGCATTGGGTACCTCTGAGTGTGAAAACATTGGGATTAGGATACAACAGTATGGGCTATAGATGATCTTTTGGTAAACTCCACCCAACGGTGATATTTCTATTCTAACGGGACAGGGAAATCTGTCTAAATAGACCATCTCACCATAGAAGTAAACTCAAATTTTAGTGGAAGATATGGGGAGAGAACAGGACTTTCAAATTAAAAACGAAGAGGAGATTAGTGTTGTAACTGTTCCTAGGTTCATGGAGGCCATGGAGATGGGAGTGACCTGTGCCTCCTGGACCTGAGTGTCCTAGCTATGCCTATGGAAATGATAAACACACGGCTGCTAACTTGTGTGAATAATTTGAGTCCTAGGTCTCCCATGTCTGACCTGAGCCCAGCCTGACTGACCTCACTGCGGAGAGACTCTAAATTAGGAACAGTGGACCACAATACAACCCCCATTGTGTCCCCCGTCTC